TTAAGATGCCTGTGGATGAAACCAGAGGGAGCTCTGGGGTTGCAGAGAACAAAAAATGTGCAGCCCTCATGTTTGTTGTAACTGTGCAAGAAAAGTTTTGTATGTGATTGAGGTGGGATTCCTGACATACTGAATGGCACACTCATGTTGACAGAAGTCTTTGCCTTGTGTCACCTTCAGATAAAAGCAGAAAATTTCTTGGTAGTTCATTTTATTCAGCTTAAACAGCTTGCAACCCTAATTACTTATCTGCAAACTTCTGATTGCACTGAACGAGTGGTAGAAATATAATAATAGTATCTGTGCTAAAAACGACTGGACCATAGATTACAGTGTTATTAGTTTTTAGCTATTAGTGCAGAACCATGTCGAGTGTTAGTCATCCATCTTTGTGGGGTTTTTGCTCAGATCATATAACAGATATTATTTTAAAAAGGAAATATTTCTATTCATGTTTCTATGCAAACATAGAGCTAACATTCCCTGCATCATAACAGAACTTCTCCTTTGGAAAGCTTTGGAGTTTTGTTCCTTGTCCTCTTTTTATTCCCTCAGTATAGCCTGTGATTAGTATGAGATAAGGGAGCCATTTACCAACAACTCAGTAAAGAGTTCAGCATTGATCAATACACTTTCAGATACTTCTCTGAGCTTGCAAGAGGATGCTTATCAATCTTTCCTGCTGTGGTACTTATAATCAAACACTACAGATAGTCACAAGTTTACATCCATAATTCACCATGTTCCTCCATTTGTTGATACGGTCTCTTGCTCCAGATTTCTAAAATCTTCCTAAGCTTCATTTAATTAATTTACTAAAATAATACTTGCCCATCTTTCTTTCCATTCCTAAATTTGCAATTTTTCATGTTCTTAATGAGTTGGACATTGCAAATAAAATACACTGGCAAGACCGATTCAATCACATGCCAATCCTTGTGTCATACCCCCAATTTTACAAAAGATATAAATTTATCATATTTCTTTGTACAGTCTTAAGCTTACACTTGCAGCTTATGTTTCATTTATCTTAGTAACACAGGAATATAACAAAATGTTGAGAGTTATGAAAATGCTGACACAGAAAGCAACTGGAAGGAATTTTGCACATCTATTCTGCACATCTTCCAAAAGGTTTTGGCTTCTCTTTTTCACTGCTTTGGCACACGCTTGGTGATTAAAAGGGTATTGCTTCCAGGAAGGGTGAGTAAATGGAAACTCCAGCTGCGAGGGACAAGAAAGAAGAACATATTTGATATTGCTACAGACCATTGAGCAAAAATCACAAAGCAATCTGGTAGACAGAGACAGAAGACTTCTGTTTCTTTTTCTGAAAAATGTAACAGGCATTTACTCAATGTCCTTTATTTTTTCTTGAGATTCGGACAGCCAGCTTGAGATAACCACAAACAAGAACCAAATTGTTCATCACAACTTTGCATAAACCCTTATTTTAGCTTTGCGCTTTATGCTATACACTACTGATATACAAATAATGGAGTTAGTTTGGCTGTGAGGAACTGCAATCCTATCGACCTTGGAGGAATGTTCTCTCTTTTGTTCAAAATAAATGAAAACATGTATACAGATGTTAGCAACAGTATCTTCTTTCAAATCAAGAGGGACAAAATAGATAAATCATTATCTGAACCTCAGTGCCCATTGCTGTAAGGTGATAAACACCACCTAAACAATGCTACATCAGCTTCTGTTAAGATGGTTAAGAATTGAGGCCACTGGAGACCACAAAAGACAGCATACTTCTCATGGTGATGCTACTAAAAAGACAATAAAAAGTTCAAATTTAAAACAGCATGTAATGCAAAATACTGATTCTATAAAATATTTATTATGGCTGAATGCATTGAATAAGAATTATTGTTTATAAAATATTTCCATAATGTCTGTAATGAGGTTCTCAGTAATTAATTTGAAATACCAGAAGAGTCTTCTTTGGATATTCAAACTAGGTTCAAATGATATATAAAGTTTTGCATATGATTTCATCTGAAAACATATAGTGACTAAGAAAAAAATTGGCGATGGGGACTGTGGAGTTGTATATTCCATTTCTAGCCCAGTTATGGTACTGCTCATGTGCCTACAAGCAAATTACTAACCTTTTTGACCTAAAGTCTTCATTGAACATCCAACTAATGGTGATGTTGTGAGCATTAGTAACCTTGCACTGGCCCTGGAGAGTCTCAGCCTCTCAGACTCAGCCCTGATAAATAAATGCAAAGCACTGCATAAATTCTTCCATATAATTCTAAAATATATTAATTATTTTGCAGGTGTTTTATTTTTTTTTCCTCTGCAACATCAAGTTGGTTAGTGGAAGTAGGTGTATACATTTGGGCATAAAAGGTCAAAATATATTGCTTTGCATCCATAATTTTTTAAATTAAAAGCAAGCTGACCCCAGGTATCATTATTGTGAGTAATTCTCTGATAGACTTATAAATTTACTGGAGCAAAACAGAGGTGTGTTAGTTCCAATTTCAGCTATGTCCATGCTGATTGTGCTGCACTGCCACAGAGGAGAAATGGGACTATATTGCTAATGAGGGAGATAAGTCCTCAGCAATTACAGGAATACTCTTCTAAATACCTGAGCTATCAATCACCAGTGAAAGAAAACTGGTGCCTTGATGATATGGAAGAACTTACAGAACTATGGAAGAACTATGGAACCCTTACAACTGTTGGAAACAAAATCATTAACAACAAACAGATCAATTTCTGCTCCCCCTCTCTGCTCAGTCAGCAATATCATAGCAGAGGAGAACTGGGAAATGGAGAAGCCAATAGCTGACTCTTGATTTCTTAAGATATAAGTTAAGTAAACAGTAGCATGGTTTGAGTTGCTCAACAGGAGAGACTGTATCAAACAAAAAGCAACAACAAACGTAGAACAAAAGTGAAGGGGAAGTCAGGAAAAGAAACATCCGTGTGAAGAACAGGGGGACTGGTTGCAAAGGTCGAAGAGGGATATTGCTTATCAAGTATTCCAAAATAGGACACTTCTCAAGCCATTAACTTTTGGGAATAAACAATGGCTTAGCATTCTATTTAAATGAAATTAAGGTAAATTTGTGAAAGACTTCTTTTGGTGTTATGACAAATAGACAGCAAACCAGATTCTAGAAATTAATGCTTTGCATGCATGTGCATTAAGTACTTCCTAAATTATAAATACCAAGAAATAAATAAGCATTCCTGCAAAAGACATGGATTTGTCATTCTAGCTCCATTTAAGAAATACAAATAATCTTGAAGACTGACTAGGTTTTTTCCCCTTGTGATACTTCAATTGAACATCTGGTGGTCTTCAGTGTGTATTTCCACATTTCAGTTGTGTCTAAATAAGTCTCCTGGATGCATTAATATTTCATTTTGCAATAAAATAAACCAGTATTGGTTTAACTTAATTTACTATATTCAAAGCCTTTATTTTGGTTTAGCATAAATGTTTGTCAGTTTTTTTATTACAAGCCTGAGAATGCCCAGCAGATACACTGAGAGTCCTAATTCTCTAGTGCTGTTTACTAGTCTCCTCCACCTGTAGAAAAAAAATCCCCAAACAGCAGGTAGTTCCTACGCCTACTTCTCAGTCACTTTAGTGAGAGATGAATAGTTGGGAAAGAAGTGGAAAATCAGGTTCTGCATCTTCAATTTAAAAAGTGTTAATTAGCCTAAAGTTTTAGATTACTTGTAATTGTTGTGGTATTAGAATCCCTATCAGCTGACTTTTCTTTTGCTCCTTTCCTGTCAACATAACTTCATTACACATTATTCCTGAGTGTCTTCAAATCAATCTTCAAGTTTAATCATCATGAGCCAGAAATGAGGCTGATTGAGATGTTGATTCTAAGATCCTTGGTCCCAAGAACATGACTTTCTTGCTGCTGAAGGGTAATTGAAAGCATCTGGGAACAATTAGAGAAACTGGAGCAGACAGTCTGCCATTCCAGAACCCATGCTGCCAGAAGGGGGAACCTGCTGCACATCCTTGAGGGAAAGTTAGAAGTACAAACTGCATGAGGCTATAGGAGCTAAAACTCAAAGTGTTCGTCTTGAGGCCTGCACTTTGATTACTTTGATATCACTTCAGACGAGTTACAGACTTCCAGCTGAGAACAGAAACATGTTCACACAGCTATCCCGCACAAATCATTTAAAAAAAAAAATCAATATTAAAGACAAGGGTTAGATTAATGAAGGGAGGATAAACCCTTTCCAAGACCTTGCAAATTACATATGCTACATGCTGCTGAGTGAGCAGAAGGCTTCTTCTGCTTTATGCTTTCCAGCTTGGTCGCCCTGTCAATGTTGCAGATCTACCTGTACTTGATTGAAGCTCCTTAGCTTTACGGTTTAGCGATTACCGACCAAACATTTCAGAAACTTGTTACAAAACTGTTGCATTTTAATGCAATACCACTGACAGTACGAATCTTTAGGCACACGTGGCTTTAAAGAGGCTTCACGTCCCTTCCCCCGCCCCCTCCCCCCATTCTACATTATAGAGAACCGATGACACTAAAACACACGGACACAGCCTTGATGGTTTTGCGCGACATCACTGAACTACCGCAGCATCGGGGAACTGCGGAGAGCCGTGCCTGGGTCCTGTGATCTTACGATTCCCGTTTACACTGCTGATGCACAGCACAGCTCTGGAAAGCCAAGCTGGCCCTCCGTGAGCAAACACTCCCCAACCTGGGGCCGAAGCGAGCATTAACATTGTTGCTGTAACCACGCAAAAGTGCCCCTGTTACAAACCCTACAGACGGAGCTGAGCACCACCTGTCGGGGCTGCTGTGGACAGAGCGGAAAGGGGCCATTGTCCTCCCCAGCGGGCTCGCCCTGGCAGCCGCAGTCCCAGAACCGCCGGGAACCCGCCGGGAACCCGCCGGGACGCCCTCGTGCTGCCGCCGGGAGCATCCCATCCGCCGCCTACATTGCCCGGCAGCCCCGCAGCCCACGGGAAGTGTCGTCCTGCCGCATCCGGGGGCAGGATCCGGCGGAGCGTGTGCCGTGCCCGGTGTGGCGCTTGCGGTGGGTCGCGGCCGGGCCGGGAGCGGGGGTCGGGAGGCGGCGGTCGCCCGTGTCCCTCAAACTGAGGCGCTTCTCTCCCCGCAGGTGCGGCCATGGCGGACTCCACGCAGAACGGGCCCATGCCAGGCGGGGCCGGCGGCGGGGCCGTGGTAAGGAGCTCCCGGGCCTCAGGGTCCTGGGCCGGCCGCGGTGCTTTCTCCAGCGGCCGGGGGGGTTGGGTCCTGCTGGAATCGCAGCGTGGCATTGCCCGCCCGGGTGCGGGCAGGGGGAAGCAGCTCTCGCTTCCCGATTGAAAGCGTGCTGTTGGTGCGCCGCCGCTCCTGAAAATGTCTCAAGCGAAAGTAATTCGGTGTGGCAGCGTCTGTATTTCACAGAATCATAGAATATGCTGAATTGGAAGGGACCCATCAGGATCATCGAGTCCAGCTCCTGGCCCTACACAGGACATCCCAGTAGTCACACCATGTGCCTGAGAGCATTGTCCAAATGCTTCTACTACTCTGTCAGGCTTCTGTGCTGTGACCAATTCCCTGGGGAGCCTGTTCCAGTGCCCAACCACCCTCTGGGTGAAAAAGCTTTCTGTGATATCTAACCTAAACCTCCCGACACAGCTTCATGCCATTTCTGTAGTTATATTGTGCAGGTAAGACACTAGATCATGATCTGAAGATGCTTGCAGGTTAGTTAGTTTCTGGTCATTTCCATAGGGATGCACTAGGAATATAGAGGAAAAGAGGAATCGCTAAAAGGTGGTTCAAATTTGGAAAAAAAACTTGAACTCTCAGATGCAAAGAAGCAGATGTTTTGACTCTGAGGCACATAATAGCCAAAAGCATGCTGTGTTTTGTTAGAGCCTTTCTGGTACCATGGATATATCAAGACTGAGAAGGGCTGTGGTTAAGAAGAGCTCAACAACAGGAGAAGTGCAAGATTCCTGTAAAAGCTTTTGCTTTTTTGAGGCCAAGAATATGTAGGCCAAAATGATGCCACTTTCCTTGTAATAATAAGCATGTAGTTATGCTAACTTTACCTGACCCTTTATTTTTTTCCCCTCGCTAAGAATTATGGAGATTCAGCCCAAGGTGTGTGCAGTGTATTCCAAAAGGGACCTTAAAGGAGTAGATGCAAAAATCAGGTCTGGAGACCTTATGTGGTAACAGTTTGTGGAGCTGGCTGTTTAATGAGGTCAATTTGGATAGAAAAACTACTTTCCCAGAAGTTCTTACTGCTGTATTTGCTTGTAGTGTACAAAGGAGCTTCTTGGTTCTGAGGAAGCAGAGCTGTTTTTGATCTGGCAAGTAGCATCATATGAGTCAAGTATCACAGAACAAAAAGCAGCTTTCTACTTCAAGCTATAATTTGCTTATATTCAAGGTTGGAAGAAGATTTGCAATTTAATATAGCAGGGAAGAATGCTCATTTTATGCAAATATTAACATACTAACTTATGTTGGGGTTGTTTTTTTTTTTTTCAATGTAGCAATTTCTGATGGCTAACAAGTTGGATACAGCAATGTGGATTTCCCGCTTGTTCACAGTTTACTGCTCAGCTTTATTTGTCCTGCCTCTTCTAGGGTATGTACTGTAATATTGTAAAATAGCACTAAAAATTTATGAACCTTTGCATAGAATTATTTTTCTCATAAGGGTGAATTGCTGTTATTCAGGTTACTTGGATGCTTTTTGTCAGAACAGCGTACAAATTTTAGATTGGTTTAAAACACTTTCAGAAGTGTTTGGAAAATGTGTTGAGCAACTGTAAAGTAGCAGTAAATGCATGATTTTGTGTGTAGTTATGCAGTAATATATTGAATTGTTTTACTTTAGGCACCTGCAGTAAGTCAGTGTTACCAGTTTTTGAGTTGTATTTTGTAAATAGTGCTTCTGTACGATAATAGAAAAATACTCAGGTATTGTGCAGCTGTGATGCAATTCTCAAGGGTGGAAGAGTTCTGAGCTTGGTTCATATGGTAACATCTCCTCTGATGATTTGCAGGTTGCATGAAGCAGCAAGCTTTTATCAGCGTGCCTTGCTGGCAAATGCTCTTACTAGTGCCCTCCGACTGCATCAAAGGCTACCGCACTTTCAGCTTAGCAGGGCATTTCTGGCCCAGGCTTTGCTGGAGGACAGCTGCCACTACCTGTTGTACTCCCTTATCTTTGTGAATTCCTACCCTGTTACAAGTATCCTTTACTTGTGTCATCCTGGTAAAGTTTTTAAATATATTTAAAACTTGGTTCTTTTCATCACCTGTGCCATGTTTTGAAAAACTAGTTTGAACTAATTTCTTTGCTATTCATACAACATGCTCTATGTAAAATACGAGAGGCTTATGTTGATCGATCCATATTCAGTTTAATCAGCTCTATAATTAGTGCACTACAGACTCTGGCTACTTAGATGTTCTTTTACTGAGACTTAAGTTCAGCAGATTTTATGACCAGCCTCAAGCGATACTTGGAAAAGTTGGTAATTTTCATTTATTGCCAATACAGGGTTTATATATGACTTCTCACTGTAGCAGGACATACGTCATGTAGAGAGACAATTATTCAGTGGTAGCTTTCTCAAATAAGTTATGAAACTGATAAAGTCTGCAAAAAATACTTTCCCTGTGGCTTGTCAAAGGTGACATGTCAGAACTGACTTTTCTTTATGCCACGCTATGTATGCTTCACATCTGACTCTTAAAAATCTCCCTGGCAGAGGAATGTCTATGTTCTTGCTCTGTGAAATGTGAATGGCTGGCAACTGCATGTTCTTTGGTAAAGAAATTAATTTTGTAGCATCTTTTAATAAAAAAATGTTATGACTACATGTACTTAATAGATATTAAGTAGTAACCTCATGTGTGTCTTCCGTGCAGAAAGAATGCATTTCAGGAGAAATGCACTAGTGTGTAATGGTGTATGTTATACTTTTGCATACTTGCAGACACCTATATTTTGAAGTTAATAAAAATGTATAGCAAAGAGGTGTAAGAAGCAAAGGGAAGAGCTATAAATACAGATATTAGATTTATACATATCTTCATCCAGTGTAGGTCATTCCAGCCAACCTCTTGCAAAGAGCCACCATGCTATGATTCGTGTAGTATAACATCATGGAGAAATGAAACGTATAATTTTCCTTATTGCTTATTTCAGTGAGTATTTTTCCAGTTCTGCTGTTCTCATTGCTTCATGCTGCCACATACACAAAGAAGGTTCTTGATGTAAGTATGATATGATGTATGTTACGATTAATACTGTTGGTATTCTTGGGGTTTATAAACAGGTTTAAGTTGTAGCTATGGTTTGGTTTCTTTTGGCCGTGGTACAGGAATTAGAGTGAATTTGTAGTGTGGAATGTCAGCACGGAGAATCTGAGAAGACTTTTTTGAGTTGGCTGGGTTTTGTGATTTGTTTTTGGTTTTTTTCCCCTTCTGTAATGACTCAATGATATGTTGGAGTTGACACTGATTATTTTCTTCAAATGCTTTCCTTTGAAGGAAACAAAAGCTGTGTAACAGTTAAGTTGAAACATAAGACATGTCTTTTTCAAACTAAACCATAGCCTGTGAATTTTGTTGTTCTACTTCAGTAGTAAGGTAACAAACTACAGAGTGAGACTAGCAAGCAAAATACTTGCCAGTTGGACTTTCTGCTTAATGCACTGCCTTGTGCAACTTAATGTAACTGCAGTCTTTGGTGCTCCTAACTGGACTACCTTGCTACCATGGGCACTTCCACCCCGTGGACAGAATAAGGCTTGTGGCTCTCTCTGTGCAGTTGAACCTAAAATGGGTGCATGAGGGGATTGCAACACCTGATATTTTTAATTGAACTCTGTAAATTATGGAGTTCTGAGCCTACGGTTTTCTTTGGGATATTAATCTCAATTCTGGTGAAGTCTTAAAATGCTGAAATGAGTTGTAAATGACAATTGTTTGTATTTTGATTTCTCTGTGCTAGTGAAGATAGGTGTAACTCATATTTTTTCTGTAAATCATTTTTTCTTCTTTAAAGGCACGAAGTTCAAATAGTTTGCCTTTTCTGAGAAATCTCTTAGAGAAACTGAATGCTAATCAACAGAATATTCTAAAATTCATTGCTTGCAATGAAATTTTCCTCATGCCAGCTACAGTTTTTATGCTCTTCAGGTAAGAATTACAATAAATATTTAAATAATTAGAATATTTAAATAATTAGTGAGTTCTCTGGATCATAGTGCTCCACTTGTATTGTTCTGGCTGACCAGGGCTTGAACTTCAAGTAAAATTTATTTGATTCTTAGGCTTCTTAAGTTGGTGCATCATGACATCAAAAAGCATTCACTATGACATAACTGGGCACAAAAAACCCCTCCTTTCATAGCGTGGGTGACATTGTTGAGTCGCATTGAAATTTTTTGGGCTCGCAACTTGCATTCACCTGCATTTCTATCAGTACATTGTTCAGTAAGTTTAATTTTGGTTAGTTTAATAGAATATTAAGATCTTCAGCTTCACTGAAATTAAGCTCTTGTTTTTGACAATTAGATTCCAGAAATTCAAGTGGCATGAAGTTTCCATATGCAAAAAGTGTGCAAGCAGTAGTAGGTTGTGTTCTCTCCTGTGTTACTTCTGAGCAGTGATCCTTGTGGGTTTTTTTTATTCCATTTGGTTATGCCTGCTTTGCATCCTGTTGAATTAATTTTAGGGATCTTGAGCGTATGCATGTTGGAATCCTACTGAAGTTGTATAGGTACCTGCCAGTCACTGAAGTTTGGGTCATTGCCTTTTAATATTTGCAGGGAGAATATACCCTTTGTTCTGTATAAGTTGTAGCATAGTAAGAGCATTTGTCTTGAGTTGTCTCAATGGTCAGCAGAAGAGAGGCTTTGTCTTCTTGGAAGTTGACAGAATGCATAATTTGTCTTTATCTCTTGATATGTCAGCTGAGTGCTTCAGTACTTCAGGTCTCAAGGATTCCATTTCATTTAAGGCCGCTTACCAACTGTATCCACTCTGTATCCAGTATTGAAACCTCCAAGTGGTTTGAACTTCTCTTTGGGATAACTTCCTTTTTTTTTTTCTTTTTTCTCTCTGTGGAAAATGTAGTATGTGAAATGTTGCTAATTGATATGTCATCTAGTAGATACTGAAGCTTAAAAAAGATCGTGCCAAATTTAAAATCATATAATGTTTAAATGCAGCTACTATGAGATTTTGTTCTTTAAATTGTTTTAGCATATTAAATTGCTTGTAAGTAGTGTACAGGTTCTTTCCTCCTGTAGCTCACTTTCCCTTTCGCTTTATATTTTTTTCTCCTGGGTGAAGATGTTGTTCATAGTTGAAGGAGTTCTTGCTGGAACTGTGATGTTCAACTTCAAATAGATCTTTTAAATGCTGTGTTTTTCAAAGTAGCTTCCGTCACTAAAACTTAGGGCATTTCTGTGGTTTGCTGTGTATGGTTTGTATGCTACACTTTCACTACTTTATAGCACAGTCATGTGTAACAGCAACTTTGTAAAATATCAAAACCTAATTTCAGTGTAACTGAAATAACTGGATATCAGCTTTGCATGTCTGAATACGTCTATAATTGTCTCCAATGTGTTCTGACAAATTTTGCAAAAGATACTAGAAATATGATCCAGATAGTCAAAGTGCTGCGGGTCCAGTTACTCGCTGTAACTGCACTACTTATCTCAGCCAGTTTCCCTGCTTGACCAACAAGCTTTTTCTTGATACTGAGCATCTCTCACCATGATTTCTGTGATTCTTTGCACACCACCAGAAATGGCGCATATAAAAAAACTTCATAAATATAAAATTAATACAAAACCAGCACTTCTTTAAGTGCTTGACTGAGCAGTTTTATTCTGTAATGTAAGTTTCTGCATTTAAAAGTGTATGGTTATGTACTTTTTCTTGTCAAATCTAGATTTTCTGAACCAGTGTGACCCAAATCTAGCTCTTTTTTGAACCCAAGTAGTTTGCTTGCTTTTGTTAGGAAAAATCCTGATTCTGGTGTTTGGTTTTTTTTGTCACTGCTAAGCTCTACTGAACTATTCTCTTTCAGTGGACAAGGGAGCCTGCTCCAGCCATTCATTTACTATAGGTTTCTTACGTTACGCTACTCTTCTCGGCGAAATCCGTACTGTCGGTAAGTACTAAATTGATTTTGGAAGTTAGTGTTTAACTGCGTAGTGCTCAGGCATTCGGAAACTTTTTGTTCTAAAATGAATGCATAGCTCATAGTACTAAATCTGCAGATGGTAATTTTAGAATGCAAAATACACCTGGATGCTGGTTCAGGGTTATATTTATTTCATGTAACTGATCAGAAATGTACCACTGTTCTTGAATGGGAGCTTTGAGAACCTGCTTGTGTAATTAAAACTACACTTTGGGAGAAGAAAGTCTTTCTTATCAGAAAGATATCCTTATTTTTAGATTTTCAGGTATATCTGAGGCTAAGTCTGTATATGAATAGGCACTTAAGAACTTGTGTAATATTGACAGAAAAAAATCTGTAGATAATCTTAAACATGCTCATTACCTCCTTTAGTTAAATTCACAAATCAGGTTAATTATACTTGAAACAGAATTTATTGATTTTGATAGTTGGTCAAGCCAATATTGCTTTAGACTTTGAAACCATAAATATTTCTATGAGGATTTTCTCAGGTCAGTGCTTTCTTAGTAAGACAAGCATTGTAAAATGTAAGATTTTTGTTAACATACCTTCCAGTCTAATCATTACTCGATTAGAAAATGGTTTGCTAAAGTGCCAAGGAAGTGGCTTTGGTTGCTGTGATATGTGAAGACAAGTCTGAGAATCATAACCTTAATCGCCTCCTGTTCCCTACCATTTTGTAAGAAATTAATTGTTCCATCCTGGTACATATATTTTTTTTTTTAACAACAACAACAAAATCTATGAAATTGCTTTAGTATCTAAAAATAATCTAAGCTCTGCAATAGTAAAACTGACTTTCAATAGAACTAGTTTATCCAAAATGTTATGCTGGCATTTTTGTAGTTTTAAGGGAAACTGGTGATCTGGATTTTATTTCTTATGTCTGTCTTCTAATAGTTGCTTCTAGAGTGCACTGTTATTGCATATTGGCAAGAAATAGCACACATACACAGTTGCCTCCCAACTCCTTACACTATTTGTGATAAAGCATTATTCTTTCCTCCTTTTTTTTCAATAGTGTCTTTTTGTTTTGGCTTTAAGGTGGAATTTTTCTGCTGTCTTTAGTTCAGCAGCTTCTAGCCAGAGATGGATATAAAGTTAATTAAAATGTTAATGTTTAAAAGCCAAGAATTCTGAAGCTCTTGCAAGATACTGCATTACTGAGTTGGTCCAAAGAACTTGTTAGCTAGAGTGTGTATGTGTGTGATGTTAAGGAAAGAAGTGAATGAAAAAGACAGATCTAGATAACACTTCTGATAAATGCTGTAGCATTTTAAAACTCTCTTTAAATCTGATTTTTTCAGGACTCTCTTCACTGAGCTCAGGATTGTTGTTGAACACTTAATAATGAAGCCCTCGTGCCCTGTTTTTGTAAGAAGACTATGCCTCAGCAGCATTTCCTTTATAAGCAGATTGGCACCAACTGTTGCATAGCCAAATTTCAGGCACTCGTGTTTTGTGAACATTATGAGCAGCTGGCACTTCTGCTGATGATTAGAAATTTCTGATTTTACACTGATCTCACTCCAGGCTGTATAAAAATATATATATGCTTTTCTTGGAGGTAATATGAAATTTAGCATATCAAAACCAAATAATGTAAACTTAAAGTTACTGTACTGTATTGTTAATTGGTGAAAAAAATTAGCTGCATCCTTTCTAAAACATACCCAATCACACGGGGTTTTGTTTTGTTTAGTTTTTTTTTTTTTGGAATCCAGGATCGTTTGAGATTGATTAAAACTATAAGAGGTCTATGATCCCTTGGTTTATGTTAGTTGGAACTATAGCTACTGTAGGATGTCTCCAGTGGATAGCAGTTGGTACACATACCTATGCAGTACATTTTGGACAGTATTCTTCTGCTTACTACATGTATCTGTAGAACTATTTTGTCCAATTTACTATACTCAGTGTAGAGATATGGCCCACTTTGAAGTTAACACAAGGGATTAAAATCTATCAAGCTGACACAGATAACACCTTTTCTGAAGGAGAGGTTATTTTTATTATATTACTTAAAAAGAACTCTTCCAAGTTCCTACCTTGTGACGTAGTCTTACATTACACAGTTGGAAGAAATATCAAGACTCTGATCACAGAAAACTCTGCAGTTTTCCTGTCATAACAAGATGTTTTACCAAGCCAAACTGCTGACCTGTAGGCTTTTCAGCCAAAGATGTAACTTTTAACCATGTCTCAAATGAACTAATCAATGTAAATGAAGTAACTTTTGCAGACTCATTGCAGATTTGTTTATATGTCCACAAAAATTTGAGACTGCAGTAATTCAAGCATATTAGCTTTTTAGAAAATTAATCTGTAGCTAGATCCCTATAAATTGTTATTCCAGTTTCTGAGAGTCTCATTGTGATCGGAAATTTGCATAAAGGATTGAACCTGTTTAGGCAGCTTCTGAAACAAATGGGTGTAGGATTTCTTGGCATAAATCCATCTGATGACTGACCTGAAGCCATGTCATGACTACAGAAGTGAATATTAATTTGAGTGAATATTAAATTGAGTGCTGATTATGTATTCACCCAGCAGCTGAAAGGTAGGTCGTGGAAAAATAATGTTATCTGTCTGAACAAAACTTCTTTCCATAAATTCAAGGCAAAATATTTGCCTAATCTTCTGTAGTTAATGTTAGTCTTCTAATTGCATAAAATTAAAGGGCCTTTTGTAAACTTCTATAGCACTGAACATAACTATTCTTCCATGGTCAGAGAAATCTTATGTGAAACTTTTCCAAAACCAGTCTTGAAGTATTTTCCTGTAACTATTGAGTTATCTTGTTTGTGATGTGGATATCATTCAGACTTTTCAGTTGTATTAGTTTGTTAGATCAGAGCCATGTATTTATAAACTTATTTCATTTTTTTGCTCAACCTCTTGGTATTGATGATCCAGTTGCTAATTGAATATGATATTCTTTGACTACTTGTCTTGCTCTCTGAACATGATTAGCTGTTATAGAACACTTGCACACTGCAGAAGCAACTGCATGCAGTAATGCTCTACAGCTGCTAAAGACTTGCAATGAGTTTCATTATATGTATATCCTGTAATCCTGAGGATTTTATAAAAACTAAATTTCTACTGCAATAAAATGAGTGTTAAATGTAACTTGCTAGGCTCTTCAAGCTTATTTTCTCTCTAACAGAACATACTGATGCTTGAACCTGGAAGTTGAGCAGAATGCTTTCCTGTGTGTATGTGTGCATGCTCCTATATTCCCACTGCTGCTTTTGAATTGGGACATAATGTCTTGTGCATTTCTAAATTATCTTATAGGGAATTTTTGCCTTCTAAAATGCAAAAATGTACGACCCTTTCCTTCAAAATCTAACCCTAAAATAAGCACTGCAACAATGGTATCTAATCAGAGCAAAAAATCTAGTTCTACTTATTACTGTTTCAGTTCCTCCGCACAGTCCTAGACCCTGTTTCATGTTACATGATGTGTTTTTTGAGTAGAGACCTCAGACTCTCTTCAGCTCTTTGGACCAATGTGATTTAAAAATTTTAATTCGGTCATCTAAGTTGGTCCCCCATGCTGGGAGTGGAAGGCAAATAAATCTGTAGTTAATGTAAGCAGAATAACATGTTACTTCTGAGCAAATTTTTGTGGTCGGACTGCAGTTACAGGTGCAGTCTACTGTTCCTTAATTATATGATGTTATTAAATTAGAGATGAGTCTAAACTGGATCTGATATATTGCAACTGTAACTGAAGGATGCTAAGTCTTGAGATCCAACTCTAGGAATGGATGAGAAAGATTAAAAGGAGTAAGTGAATGACAGTGAGCGAGTTGAGAATTGGAAGACAGTGCCATGAAGCAGAACTTAAACGTGGATACTGAATTTCTTGTTAACTCTTTCCATTAACTCTTAAAAATGGACTCCTTAAAGAGGAGGATGTTTCATAAATGGGATTTGATTTGATATGATTTGGCTAGTATATTTGTGGTTTTGCAAGGATTTGCTTGACAAATGAGCAACTTGTGGCCTGGGAAAACTTATCTTCTCTGACGTGCCAGGAAAACATGGAATGAGGTTATAAGAATAATGTTCAAACCAAATAAATAGGGCAACTGACCTGTACTCTGCATCAGCTTTGATTTTTACTGCAGCCTTTTGGCTGCCTCAGTGATAACCCTGCATTTCCTCAATACTGGCAAAAACATTCTGTCCTCGTGCCTGCTTACTTGCCATGGTTTGTGATTGCTTCTACACTAATGATTAAATTAGATATGAATTGCTGGTTGTATCCTAGCTGTGATACAGAGGCTGTGACAGAAGTCTATGATCGCAGAGAAATTTTGCAACTGACCATAAAATGCCTGTCAACCCCAAATGTGAAGCAGAAGAGTTTTTATTTTACTGAAAGGTTACCTACTTAGTGTTAGGTAACTGTTTCCACTGGTATAAATCACACTGGTCATTGCTTTTTGTCATCTCAGCTTTCGTAACATAAGTGCTGTTGCATAGATTCTGTGAGTAGACCCACCCCTTGCTCTGCACAAACAAGTAGAAGTGACGCTCCAGCATAAGTTTCTGTTGTCACCTTTAGGTAAATAAAGTATCAAGAGCCAATGGAGACTTTTGGAATAGCTAATGCCAGCTGGGATTTCTTACACACCAAGTAACTCACCAATACATCCATCCTTTCCTTTATCGCCTTTTATTTAATTGTATACTTTTATTGTAATTTCTGTGCTGTCAGTTTTATATTTTGCTCCCTTCTTTGATGGATGCTTAAGGTGAGCAATATCTGTTAATATTTTAAGTTGCATGTTTTAGGGATTTAAAAAAAACATCCATTAGAATCGTGAGCCACTATTTCTTCCAACAGTTTTTGAGCTGCTAACTATATATGTTATAGTACTGTCCAAACAAATAACGTGTCTGGTTATTTTGTACAGTCTGTGTTGGACTGTTTCTTTGTTAGGCACCCGTAGTGTAACATTTGCTGTACAGATCCCATGTTTATTAAGGAAGTATAGTTCTTGTCCATTTTACAGACAGGAATGGAGACATGGAAGAAAAGAGCACTTTCCTGAGGGGGTGCAAGAGCTCTGGCAGAGCAGGAAATAGGAGAAAGAGAGTTGGACAAGTGCCCAGAGGAAACTGATTTGTTTCTATACCACACATGACTTGTTGGTCCTGCTCCCAAAATTATACCAATTATGCTGGCTTAAATACTTAAAAAAGTACTGTACCTTACAGTGCTCAGATTAAGGGCAGAAAAGACATTGAACTAGACAGCATGCCCTGTTAAAGCAGTATCAAAAACTGATTTCCACATGCAAGAGCTAGGTATGGTCCCTTGCATCATCATCTCTGCACTGATGAAAAATAATACAACAGAACAAGATGGCAAGCACTTAATGTGCTAGATGGTAGTAGGGTATGCTAATCTTATAATTGTCTATAATTTTTAATTGCTGCAGTGCATCTATTATGGATAAACTATATATACTGAAATTGGCTAGTGTATCATTTTATTGTGACTTCTATTGTGCTGTAATTTTCTTAAAGTCACAGGAGCAGTCAGGCTTCGCTGTTTTAAATCGCCTTTTAAGGACAGAATCTTAAGCAATTCTTTATTTCAAAGATGCATTATCAGTATGGATAATGTAATAGAATTTAATCTTAAATGTGGATTCAAAAATCTTTCTCATAAAATGTCAGCATGACTTACTAACTTCTCTGCAGAAGCTAGCTCTGTGATAATAGCAGATGTTGTGCAGGTAAGGGAGTTTCATTGCTTAGTTCTGTGCCATCCAGATGGTATAAACTTTTAAAATTAATTGAAAAATTCATCTTTTACTTGTATTCAAGGACTGAGGCACAAAATGCTAATGTAAGGGCTCAGAGGGGAAATATAGTTCTCCTGCATATTTGAAAAAATGTGAAGCCCTTTCAAGAAAATCTAATAAACATAATAATCGCAGGCTGCTGACACTAAGGAAAAAGCACCTCATTCGCTCTTTCTTTTATGCAGTGATTTACTGGTCCCTACTGATTTTCAAATTGGATCACTGCAGTAAATTATCCATACCAGTACCTGTGAAAGAAAGCACTGGGATCCATATTTGTTCAGTGCTGTGCTTAAATCAGCAAGAATGATAAATTTGATGATATGAAATTGGAAATATCAAGGGCTTTTCTCAGTGAATGAGCAAGTATCTCCATTTGTAATTTATTGTGACCCTTTTTCACTGTATGTGCTTTGTATGTCAAATATTTATTTTGAAACAAATTAAATTGTTTTCTGTATTGATATGGCTATGGTTTTGTTCTTGAAATCAGATTGTATATTTTTTTCTGGATTTTAAGTATTATCAGTGTTGTGTTGCAAAACAGCACTTGTTTAAGTTCAAATCTGTGAGTGACTTTTTACTGACCAACAGCTTTTTCTATTAAATGTTGTAGGTGCATGTTGGGTGTTGGGTTTGATTTTTTGTGTGTGTGTGTGTATGTTTAGAATAGGGTAGGATGCAGTGAGCTATTGCAGCATCTCATTTGCTTTTTCTAGAGAAACAGGAAGATTAATGTGTATGTCAAAACCAAAAAAAAGCTGATCCCTGTCTTTAAGTCATTGGAACTATTCTGCTTTACACCTGGCATAGTTAACCCCAAGTTCTGTGGGGAAAAATCTACCTATGTGCCCAGTTCAATGCCATATTTTCAGTGCAGGTGTTAATAGAGAAAGTTATACACCTGTGTTTTGGCAGGAGTCCTGTCCTTTTAATTTTAAAATAGGTTATTTTGTGTCTGATTACATCCAACTACCTAAGTAAGTGCCACTGTTGAACTGAAAATTAGTTGTGGCTAGTGCTTTTTTACTTGGAATTTATATCAGTATAGTAATAATTTGTTTTGCAACTTGTATGCAAAATTGTGATCCGGTGTGGTTAATAATGTTGACCCTATGTTACCCTCTTCTTATGGGCTAGGCTTAGCTCATTTGTGATGGCACATTTATTAGTGGACTTCTGTTCAACCCCGGTGCCAGCGAGCTGGGCTTTATTCTACCACAGCTGGCTACCTCCATAGAGCTGTGGTTTTGTAAAAACAGTAGTGTGAATTGTATTTTAAGGAGCCATGAAAGACTTTGCTCTTCATTTAAGATAATTTGAGTTCATGTCTATAACAGTTTCCATGTGTCTGACCATGATATCTTGCTTTGAGGTGAGTGAAGTTCTACAACAGTCCAGACTCCTGCCTTGGGTGAGGAAGCTGGTTTCCTTGAACAAGTGCTGATCATGGTATTTTCATTTGTTGTATGTGTTCCTATGAATATTCACTCATGACCTTTGCTAATGTGAAGAGGAAGAGTATGTTAGATGAAGACAGTGCATCAGTTAGTTGAGATATTGCACAGGAAAATTAAGCTGAAAATCAGAAATTAAAAAAGGTGCAGGGCTAGATTATCTGCAATAGATATCTGCTATAGTTTTCACACAGGTAGGAATGCAATAGAAAGAGAAGGAAGAAGAATGGGGATAAAAATAATGAGAATACAGAAAAGTTCATCTCTGTGATAAAAAGAGGTCTGGAAATCCTGCTGGGTATTCTGTTGCTTGCACAAACCCCAGTTCACCATTCATGGTTTCATGCAATCAGAATCCTCTGGATTGTACTTAAGTTTTCAAGCTGTAAATTATTTTGAATTTATTCTCTCTGCTGGAATAGCATGTTCAGATGCTGCTACACTGTACACAAACTGACAGGCTAATCTTGGTTTCCTTAAAACAGAAAATAGTGGAATTATGTGTTCTTCTCTATTATGTTTGAAGCTCCTATAGTGGAAAAGTAAAGAAATAAATGCTCTGGTCTATACTATTACTGGGCTTCTTGGTTTTTTTTTTTTTTCATTTCTCTTTCCATGTTGCTTTGTTATGTTTTTTTCTTGGCAATCTGGTGGAAGATTTCATATGTGAAACTGCATGGGGTTTTGTCCTACTCTGTGTTTGCATAGAACATGATATTTGTAATGTAGTATTTTAACATTTTTTTATTTACTTTTTTTTTCAATCTAGAAAATCTGAACAGTGTTTTGAGATGATAGATGTTCCTATTACAATCCCTTTCAACATACTTTCTGCTGTAGCAACTTCAGTTGGGTTCTGACTAAATTGTGAATCCTTTCAGTGATAAAGTTTAAATCAAAGCCATTAATGACAGCTTTTTTGTAATAGCAGATGGAAATCTAGGATTGACTTTCTGAATTTTCATGTCTACTAGAATTTTCAGTTGTGTAACTCTGTAATACAGAGAAATATTGAAATCTTAGAAAATTACAATTATAGCATGAAGCATTAGTTCAGTGTGCATGTGTTTGAGCATCCAGTGGTTCTATTTCTAATTATCTCAAATTTTTTAACATCACTATGGGGCAGAGGTAAGATGTTTAGTTGCATCAATGTGTATGTATGCTTACAGCAGTGGATGAATGAGTAAATAAAACATAATATTATGAGGGGTTTTTTCCTATTTAGATATACACTTTGCACTTTATGATGAAAAAGCCTCTTCCTGCCCTCTGTCAGCCTTTTCTCTTTGTAGTGTTACACATTTATAATGGAAATAGTTTTGAAAGAAGATTCTTGCACTGCACAGGTCTTTCTAATATCCTACCTTTATGCACTTTAAAAGTACTGATCGAGCTTATTTAACATTCTTGTAATTCTTGTTTTTTCTTATAAGCAAAAGAATCAAGCTGCTTTTAAACTGGTCCTTTCTTTGGTCATGTAAGGGATTATAGGATGGGTGGAGTAGCAGGAGACTGGATCTGATGATGCAAGAAGCTTCTTCCAGTCCTGCATTCTTATGCATGTCTGCATATTACTGTAGAGATTAAGAGTAGATTTTTTGGTATATTATGTACCTAGTATTGTTTTTAAGAATTTTAAACTAGATTTCTGCTTTAGGATGAAGGTAAGCACTGCTAACCTTAAGAATACTTTTTCCTTACTCAACGGGGGGAAATTTTATTTGATATGATTTGGCCATTTGAAATGAAATTGAATTCTTCCTTCTTGTGCTAATTTTATTCCAAACCACTGACCTCTAGTGGCTGGTTTGCAACTACGAAGCTAAACGTTTTAGTAATGTAATGTGCTCCTCATGAGTCTATGGCTACAGGAGAGTCATTTTCCATTTCATTTTTCCAGCAGAATAATGCTTCTTCATGATTTATTTTCCTTTGGCACTCAGTAGCTGCTGCTGCTGCTGCTGCTGCTGCTGGGTTGAGTACTGCTGCACCCCAGTTCAAGAAACTGCATGTGACTGCTGGTTTTCAGGTAAATGAACTGCATGTGAATAACTGCAAACACTTATCCATGTGCTGGAAATAAAAATATTTAGTTTTAGTTTATGTAGATCTTTGATCCAGTGACCATGAAATAACTTTACAGACCTACATGACTCAGAGTGGTGTTATGCAAACTTCTGTAGATTCACCATTCTATGCTTTGGAAGAATCGTTCCCCTCATGCACCTGCCTGCCACAAAATAGTCTCTAATTTTTCTGTGAATTTAAACATTTTACCTGAAAAACTTAAGGGCTTTTTGGGATCACTGGACACTTTATGTATTCATACTTTTTTTTGAACTATCTGTATGTAGCTGCTTGGTGTTAACTATATATGTGTAGTATCATAAAAAGTACAAAAATAAAATCTTTCCCTTTTCCCTTCTCCATTTGTTGTCCCTTGCTATGCTGTATGAGAGATACACAAGGCAGGATACGATGGGAATCTTGAAGAGTAATTTAAACGATATTAAGTCATTACCATCAGCTCTTGCTGTGGATCTGGGGACATTTCAAGTCTCCTCTGCTGTATGAACCTGAAATATTTAATGAATTTCAGATTAAAAAATATTCAAATTGGCTTTATATTACTTCATTTTTCATATAAGGAACACTAAAATTCTTCACTGCTTATTAGCCTTCCCATATCACAGATTTCTTGCTAGGCAGAAATATTGGAGAATTTCATCATGATAGACTGTTTCTCATCAGCTCGAGAAATCCAGCCAGTTACTTAGTTATTTTAAATAAACAGGAACTAGGAAAAAAGTTTCCAAAGGTCTATATTTCAATCCAGTCACCTCTCTTTCTTGATCTGCAAGCAGTTATATGTAAACTTTTCAAGTGTCTCCATAAAACAGGTTCTAAATCTTAAAAGGTTGTTACCACAGTCCTTGTTCTTCCTGAAGACCTGGTAAGGCAACTTAAACTTATAATTTTTTATAGGCAAGGTAATATGCTGTATACAACAAGTTTCTGGAGGTTTTGCAAAAGGAGGCTTGAGGAAATGACTGATATGGTAGCCAGCCTCCTTCCTCGTATGAGCAATTTACACAGATCTTCACGCAATTGGTATATGAGCAACCTCTGTCCCCTAGACGTAGTACTTTTTTATCAGTTCAGCATTTAGCAACTTGAATGGGAATGAGATTTTGCATTTTTTTTAACTGGCTTGATTTTATGAAATAGGAGCTTAAAATAGCCATTGAATAACCATTATTCAAAATTAAACCTTAGGATGCAATTGCAACTATATTGAATAAAAACAAGATCTCACCAGTTTGCTTGGGCTTTACATAGTATTCCTTGCCACAGGCAAAAAGTTGTTAAATGTAGTTTGGATGTGCCAAAATACCCTATCATTTAGAGAGTTTCTCTATTCATTGCTAGTGATTGATAACTAATGGTTAAGATGCTCATAATTAAGGTTGATATTTTTTTCTTAGGAGGCTGCAGCTGCATGCCATGAGTCTTGATAACTCATTATCAATTGCTTTATGTACTTGGCTATCCCATGCAGAACAGTCTGTTATTGATGCTCTTTTGCCTGTTTCTTGTCTCCATCAGTTTTCAGTGTTTGTCAATATAAAGGGTCACACAGAACAGTTGATGGTGTAAATCCCAATTGACCACCACACTGTTAGTGTCTATTAATCTATCTGGGGTATTTCAGTTTTATTATTTTTCTTCCTGTTTCATATTTACCCCAACAAAATCAGGCAAGGCAAATTCAGTTATTCTGACGGATAAAAGAATATGAAGTAGTAGTTCCATTTGGTTTTAGAGAGGAAATGATAAACCTAAAGTTAGCATCTCTTCTAGAGTATAGCAGAGACAGGAATTGCAAATGTTTCAAGAATTTTTATCTTCTTTAAAACATCTTTATGTGGGGAAAAAAATAGTGAACTCTCACCCTCACGTTTCTTCTTTTTTTTTTTTTTTGCAGTTAGGCTCTTGCCAAAATAACAAGAGGCCAGTAAAACATGTATCAACTGCATGTTAGACTCCAACTAAAAGAGGTGAATTGACCTCACCTGTGCTACTTTACAACTTGCAGTCTATTTAGTATTTAACTCCATTGCTGTACATCTGGTACTTAATGATACAGCATCTGTTGCAATACTCCTGATTCATTTGGAATGGCTGCAATTGGACTACTGGGAAGACGGGTGTTAATTATTTCATGCAAGTATTTTACTTCAATCTGCCTCCACTGGGCTTCTAGGAAAACTTGCATTGGCAATGTTACTCAGTAGCCGGGTGGTAAAGATGTGCCAGCAAACCTTGTTCAAAATTTAATTGGGTGTGTTAACAGCGGGCACCATTATAACTCTCCTCAGTGAGAGGAAGCTTTGTGGATTATCAGGTACATTAATTATGCATATTCCCCGCCAAGCTAACTTCTGGTGAGCTCCCAGGGTGCAAATGAAGACAAGGAAGCCTGAGACATTTTCTCAGCATCACGTAAACTAGTATTGAAGCTATTCTGAAAAAAACTTCTATAAAAAAGTGTGTAATTTGATGCCAGCGGGACTGATTCCAGGCACGGTCCTGAGCCAGGCTGTAGGTAAGCAGAGCAGGAGGAGGTGTCACAGCTGTGCACAGGCAGCCCTTACAACCCTCGAGTGCAGGATCAGCCACAGGGCATTCTCCCCGGAGAAAGACATCGTTTTTAATCAGATCTTGTTTTATCAGCACTGATCCAGGAAGTGCGTTTTAATGGAGGGCTTAGGCTAGGATTTCATTTTCACACAGAAATCATGCAAACAAGTTTAGCATATGTGGTTTAATATTATCTATGTTCAGAGAGGGGCAATGAAGCTGGTGAAGGGTGTGGAGCACAAGTCTTATGAAGAGCAGCTGAGGGAGCTGGGGTTGTTGGGGGGAGGCTCAGGGGTGACCTTATCACTCTCTACAACTACCTGAAAGGAGGTTGTAGCCAGGTGGGGGTCGCTCTCTTCTCCCAGGTAACAAGTCACAGGATGAGAGGACATAGTCTTAAGCTGTGCCAGAGGAGGCTTAGGTTGGACATTAGGAAGAATTTCTTCACAGAAAGGATGATTAGACATTGGAATGAGCTCCCCAGGGAGGTGGTGGAGATGTTTAAGGAGAGACTAGACATAGCACTTTAGTGGCATGGTCTTGTTGAATCAACTAATTGATTCT